TATAAATAAAAAGTTTGTGTTAAAAATTTGCGTGATTATATAGAGTTAGTGATTATATAGGAGGTGATTATAGAGGAGGACGACTGTATTCATCCACATTATAACAGCAATTTTACAATTGTAAAAACTCATTTTAAAGATTTTTTATACAAGTTACACACAGTGTTTAAAATTGGCGTGCACAAGATGCACATGTGCACGAATTTTTTTTTGATTTTTTTTGAATTTTTTAAAAATCCATTAAGTGTGCATGTAAAATTTTTAAAAAAAGATGCACAAAATACAATTTGTGCACGTAAATTTTTTTTTGAATTTTAAACACTGGTTACACGTCCTTCAATAGTTTTTCTTAAAATCTTGCGTAATTAATAAAACTATACTATCGTACATATGAGATTATTCTACTATATTAAATATCTTTTAAGAAGTATAACTTTAAAAAAAGAGTCTGCATATGTTTGTAAATAAAAATTAACAAGTTAATAATTGAAATAATAAAGAAAAAAATTGAAAACCAACGTTAAATTTTGCGAATTAAGCAGTACAATATACTTTTCTTACCTTTTACTATACGGTAGATAGTGCTTCAACTCTTAAAAGATCAACCTTTTATAGCGCGATGCAACGCAATGCAACACGATGCAACTTGGTTTCTTGACAAGACGTTCGTTATGAAGGTATTTATTAGTAAAGTATTGGATGTTTAGTTTTTTTTTTTTAGTTCACTTATAACCGAAAATTTCATCGGATTCGAATGTCCCACATGCTACGCATCTCCAATTCAAATTTTAATCTGATGCAACTCAGGTCTAAATCTACCCCTATGCTAATTTCACGCACAACATATTTATTAAAATATTATAAAAACAATTGATAGAGTTAAGGCAGAATCTGATTTGATAAAAATTTAGTAATTATAATTATAGGATTCGTTACTTCAAGCGTAAATTAGAAATTTTCTATATATATTTTAAACTAGGCAAAATCTAATAAACTTTTTTATGCAGTAGAATTTATAAGAAATGATTATTTAAAATATATTATTTTAGCAAAAAATTGCATTCCGTATACATATTTTTATTATTCGTGAGAAATTAAAATCTATCCTATCCCGAGGATCACGTGCGGGATTCTAACAGTAAGCTCGATAACTATCACTTTCTGATGTGACATCGTGATTTATTTATTATTGCAGCATAGCTTCAATGATTTGTAATAGTGATTTTGCGAAATTTAAAACAATAATTAGTAATCAAGAACTAATAAATTTCTTTTTAGTGTTTCGACAAGCAACATTGATAATTATACTTGTAATGGCGCATAATGTCGACGACAAATACATTTAATAAAAATATCAGTAAAAAAAATGTGAGTGCGCAATCAGGATCCACGAAATAAATGGTTATGGATACTACTTATTTTGATTTTAGGTTGCGTAAACCAAATTGTTAAAATGCATTTTCTCAGTAGGACTCGTTATTAAGGTTACAAATATTACAGTATTGACAATTTATCTATGTTGTGAATGCATATTGCAGGTTAAAAATTCTTCATTTTTATCCATTTCTAGGCACAATGTAATAATATTCCCTGCTATTTTTATTTTTTATTAGTTTTTATGTACTGTACGTATGTACGTACGTACGTATATACATACGTACATTCGTAAGTGCTTTATAACAATGCAAGAAAAAATTTATTGTATGAAAAATTCATATATGTGTGTGTGTGAAAAAACTTTTCCCTCATCAAGGAAAAATTCTGTAATATTTAAACATAAGAATTATGGCACGTAAAATTAATGATAAAGGTTTCAACCTCATAAAGGAATTCGAAGGATTTCGGTGCGATTATTATATTGATCCAGCAGTAAATTTCTAAAATTTATTATTCATAAAATTATGCTAAGCGTGTTATTAAGTAATAATTCTTTTGTTGTGATTAGGGTTACAAAACTATTGGATATGGTCATGCTTGCCATGCTAATGATTGCACTAATATCAAACCTCCTCTTAATGAGGCCCAGGCAGAGGATTTACTCAGAGAAGATTTAATTAAATTTGAAGAATACGTTGAGTCATCATCACCAGGACTTAATTTAAATCAATTCTCTGCATTAGTTTCATTTACCTTCAACCTTGGTTGCAATGCTTATAAGAATTCTACCTTACTTATAAAAATTAAAAACGGCGATTTTGAGAGTGCTTCTGATGAATTTGGCAAGTGGGTCTATGCTGGTGGAAAAAAATTGAATGGTTTGGTGAGATGTCGTGAAGCTGAAAGAGAATTGTTTTTACAATAATCAAGTGCATGCGCTTTGCAAAATTCTCAAATAATTATAAAATATCAGAATTTCTGGGTGGATCAGAGTAATTTGGGAGATGAGATTAAACCATTATATAATTACGCCTATGAATTTTTTTCATTATGTATTATATTGCAAAACTACAATTCTTGATGTATCGTCGGTACTATTCTTGATGGGGTAAAAAAAAATTTTTTTGTGTACTATTTTTGATAGGGCCTAATTTTCTCGATAGGTGACCTGTGATGAGTGACGAAATTGACGAAGTTTGACGAAATAAGTATTTCGTTAATTTCGTCACTATGAAAATAATACGAAAATAATTTCGTCACCCATCTATATAGGCGACTAACCCTGCAATTCGTGATTGCACGTGATCTAATCCTTAACACGTACGTTGTAAAGTGCGAATAATGCACTGGGTCTAGATAATACAACTATACACTACTAAAACCAACTAAAACTACTCTAACCAGAACGCCACAACTAATACAACCAAACCCTAATAGTGGTAAGGCAACAATCGAGGTGTGGAAAGACTTGGTCCGAGTAACTAGGGTCGATTAGAGCTCTAGATTACGTCACGAGTCTCTTTATACGACGTCACGGGATTTGGTCATTTATCCCTTCCGTTAATACAGATTTTATTTATCGGGGGATTAGTAGAGCAACACTATTTAATGTTGAACTCCAATCGAGTTTGAATACTATAAGAGTAAATCACTAGTTAAATACTCTGATTTCTTTAACTTGGATCTTAGAACAGTCCAGAGTTGAGAGTCATTTATATACTTTTGTTTACATACGTAATATAATAATAATAATAATAACTATACTAACGATAATAACTATTTTACCGATTATGTATAGTTATTGAATGCGTAGCAGACAATAATAGTAGTTATTTCGTTCTATTTCGCATATCGAAAGAATTTTTTTAATTGATTTGATTGGTCAATAATCACGCTTGGATCTACATAAATTAACCAATCGCATGGATATTATAACCCGTAAAAATACGAGTGTCTCCTATGTTACGAACGAAAAATCCTAAATCAAACTCTTATCCAGCACGGCTCAAAAAACACATACTTTTAAGTGGAAGATCATAGCTTTCGAATTATCGATAGTTTGAAAACTTTGTATAAATTATTTATTAGGCGAGACCAATTTAATTCGGTGGTTTACGTTACATCCTTCTCACAAAAGAGGGGGGGGGGGGGGGGGGGGGG